ACTACTAAAACGCATACTGAATTGTCCTTTTTCTTCAATTTACCGAATTAAGTTTTTTTTAAATGTTATCCAACATTTGTTTCAGTTTCTTGTTACTGAGGTATGCCTGTTAAGACATGGGGATGCGATTGTTCTTGTTTTCCAGTGGCGCCATCTATGGCCAAGAATTCAACTTCTGCCACACCCACACGTCACTCCCGTTTATAGGGTGAACTTATTCGTTCATCCATTCATTTATCCACTGATCGTAAATTTGACCTGAATCAGAGAACGAAGTTTCTTGATAAATATTTTAAATTGTGAATTCGTTGTTTTCATTACATTTTAAAATAAGTTTTAAAGATTAAAATATAAATTTTTCTGTCTGTGCTTTTTGAGCTAGGAATAAATAAATTACTTGATGAATGCATTTTCTAAGCTTTTCAATTGATGTGCTTTAATGAAAAAGCTTTTAATTATTTTCATATTTTGATGTGCAACTTAAATCATGAATTTCTTAAGAGTTTAAAATATTAAAGGTATATAACCATAAATGTATCATTTAGATTTTTTTGAATAATTTTTTGAGAAAATTGAGGAGAAAAATTGGTTTTACATTACACTTTGCATCTCAGTTTTATTTTGTTTGATAAAACAAAAACAAACAAATAAATTCTGATGGATAAATCTGTGGATTAAAGAATAATTTTTAAGGCAACTAAAAACCAAACAGAATAAACCAAACTAAACCTTAAAACCAAACAGAATTGAAGCATGAATCAAAATGATTAATATTCTAATATAATGTTATAAGCAGTTTATAATTTGTTTGAAATGAGATATTATTAGATTTAGATATTGACATTTCAACATTAAACGCATTGAAGCTAATTTTTGAACATTAAATATATTGAAATATTAGCTTTTAATGCTAAATATATTAAGTTATTTCTTTGATGAAATATATTGAAATATCAGATATGCTTTTTGTATATCCTCATACTATATTATATATTCTTTTATAATAGTATATAATTTCATGTAATATTATTTATGCTTACATTATATATGTCCATGTTATCTTTAAGCAAAGATGAGTAAAACTTAAAGAAAGGATAGACACAGACATTTTTGAGTGCTATTACATTGACATGAGAAATAAGCTGAGTATTTTTTTTTCTCTATTATATAGCTAAGTGAAGGCTTAATTGTATGAGAAAGCTTCATATATAGCAACTATAAATATAACCTAGCTTCTCCCTCGGGCTTTATAAAGACAACAAATTATTAAAAAAATTCTAGAAATTCATTCACTGCTATTTTCAGAGAAAATAGTTGGTCCAAGTCAGATTTTCTAGCAGGACAATATCTCCCTTTACGCTGAAGAATCTTAACTACGGAGATTTTTAGATAAGAGGATGTATTTCATAAGCAACCTGCTCTTTCCCTTGACTTTAATCCCCAGGAAATCATGCGGGAGGGCTAGTCTCAACTGGGCAATATATAGCAGAAAGGACAGAAGTTGGTAGCAGAACTGAAAGCTGCCGTTATTGAAACCTGGGCCAAGCTAATGTCCTCCAGAGTTTAGTAAATTGTACACAGCATGACATATTTCAAATCGCATATAAGCATGATGGATATATAAGCACGGGATATAATGAGGGGTGACTTTATTTAGATGGGTCACCTTTTTTTTCCTTCCATCCTCTTTAATTACTTCGATGTTCTTTTCCCAATCCAGTTGAGGGTTGAGGCAGGAAATAAGTTACTCCTCTTAAATGTGTATATAAATATAGACTTTCTTAATATATATGTTTGGTAGTTCCCATTTGTTATCTTTGCTTCCAGTTGTGTCTAGGAATCAAGGTGGATTTCATTTAGTTGGGACGCACTATGCATATATATAGCCCAATAAAGACAAAAAAAGCATAAAAAGAGAAGATTAATACTAACTTTTAAATAAACTATGAAAATAAATTTTGAAGTTTCTAAGGATTCCAGTAATATTTTTTTAAAAAGAATTCTTTGATAATCATTATTGCATAAGTCACAAATATTTAAAAACAGAAAATTTTTAAAAAAGAAATTTTTTTAAAAATAAACATCAACTTCTTTTATTCGCTTCCTTATTCGTGCCCTCTCTACAAGTCAGTCTAAGTCAGTCCCTATATCCTATTCGCGCGATGCTTACTGGCAAGTGCGATGGGCCGCAAATAATCCCAAGAACACCCAGATTGGTTTCCGTGGCAACAATTCGGAGGACTCCGGTGTCGAATAGCGAGTCCTTTTCTAGCTGACGTCAGAGAATCATCGAGAGAGCGAGTATAGGCCACCCCATGCACACAGGCAGAGGCCCTGAGTGCCGTCAACCATCCACGCCGCCAAGTTCAGGCCGCTTGCTTTACTTCTTTTTGTTTCTTTTTAACTGTCTCTTCTTCTCTTTAGAGAGATTTTTATTGACCTCTTCAAGTCAGAAAATGTCGCCTCTCTTTTCGTAATTGAATTTCGGACAAACAGAAAAACCCGGACTCTATCGAACTGTCTTTGTTTGTGTTGTTTTTGTTCTGTTTTTTCCAAGTTCCGGTCAACGTGTATTGAATACGGAGAAGTAGAATCTATATTCATACTTCTAAATTATTGCACTGCTTAGAGGTTTTTAATAAGTGCATATTTTTTTTAAATATACACTAATTAGCTTTGAAAGTGTTTAATGATTAGCAATTAGAAATTGACCCGAATTATATCTAACAATTTTATTAATGAAAATAATCGTTTTGTGAAAAAATTTCAGAATATCATTTTGGTTGCAAACTGAATTATATTGTGTTATTTCCCTTAAGATAAACGTTAGTTAAATTTTCATAACTATTTAAACAAATTGAGGTCTGAAATCTATGGCATCGATGCACCTTGTCTAGATAAGATTAGCATTCTTGTGCTATTAACCATTTCTACATGGTAATGACAGCAGGAGGCAGAAGAGGTATCCGGCCGGACCCTCACCGATCACCTCCGGCAGGATCTCTTGCCTCAGGTCCCCAAGATATCAAACCCTATTGTCCACCTATGTTGTATCGTAAGTAATAATATCAACTTCAAATATTTAATAATTATTGCTTATAAAATAATATATTACGTATTATTGTGTTGTGGAAGTTATTAATAATTTTCAGATGTAATCTTAAATGCATGTTATTTTTAAATTTAAAGCTGTTTTCATTTAATATTAAGTATAATTTGTAATCATATTTTATTGAGAAATGTGTTATATTGGCTTTTAAATTTTTCTTAATATGCAATATTTAATTAAAAAGAGATGTATATTCTTTTATTCATAAAAAAGTTTTAAGTACTGGTAAACAATTTCAAAAACCAATCCTTTTGAAAATCATTTTATGAAAACAACATAATTTTTTCACTTTAAATTATTTTTTGACAAAAGTAATGAGACATTTTTTGGGTTATTCTACGTGTATAATTAAATTTTGCATTAGTAGAAAGCAATTTTTGCCCGAAGAGTATCCATATGTTATAATTTAATCTGGTTTTATTTATACACATTTTTAGATTTTCCAACTTTACTCATTTTTCTGTTTGTTTTTAAAGCATTTCATTAATTTTCAATCAGTGTTTGTTAATTCCTGCAAGGGTAAATATTTTTGATTTATTTCTAAGACTATTTGGTTTATTTCTGGATTGAAAATTTTGGATTGGTCTTGAGTTGAATTTATTGCTTCTTATGGGTTAGAAATTGTGGTGTTGATTTAGTATTTGATACATAAATTGTTATACATAAATTGTTGAAATATTTGTCGCATGTTTTGTTATATGAATATTTATTCTTATTTGCCTTTTATGCTAAGCAAGAACAACTAAGAGCTATAAAATCGTTTAAAAATAAAGGATAGTTTTTTAGATAGTAAATTCAGATGATTAAAAGAAAACCTTTTGAGTTAAATATTACTGCTATTATTTCATTAGTTTATAAGAATCGTGTTATATAATTTATAGAAATTCAACAAATTTATTATAGAAACACTTTTTTCCGAATGATCATTGTATTTTAGAATAATCTTTTACAATCTTAAATCTCATCAATTTGATTGAAACAAGTCATTTTTATTACCAATTTAACGACTTATAAATCGAGTAGTGGGCAATTTATGGAAAAAATAATTTTTGTAAGGAGCAGTTTAAATTACATATCAAATTTATGAACTTTACACAAATGAGGTTTTCTTCTATACACTTCAATAAGAAATAGTTATATGCAGATGAAAAATTTAAGTATAATAACAGCTAAATTTTGAAAAATTTAGCTGTTATTATACTTAAAATCTTCAGCCTGTTAATAATAATGACTTAGTAACAGAATAGTTTTCAATAATGCCATCTTTTCAATAGTACGTTTGCAAATACCTCAGTATGGAGAGCAATAAACAATTTTAACTACATATGAAATGTCATTCTTATTTGCTGATTGTTTTCATTCCGAAATATTAATTTTAACTTGTCATTGCTCTTTGAAAAATATTTAAACTACAATACAAAATGTGTATTTAAAATAATAAATGTGTTAATATAAGTGATTGTAGCTTCGTCTCTGAGTGTCAAATCAAGATTATTTCGTACTTGTGGTATGCTATTGCGTCGTACTTAGACTCAGATTAGAACATATATTAACCACTTACATAGTCTTTTATCAATCAGTTACAGAGCTTCGTATAAGATCAGCAGGAAAAGTGAAAGATAATTTAAATATGTTCTTAAAATTGCGTAAAACGTATCATTATTTTTCTCTAGATTTTATTTTATCATAGTAAATGTGCATTTAAGTACTGAACGGAATATTTTTGGAAGCATGACATTCTCATGTATTCGTTGCATCAACTGAAATAGAAGGGGAGAAAAGCTTGCCGGATATTGAAGAAAAAATGCTTATTTAAAATATTAAAAGATAATTTATTTTATATTATAATATAGTAGTACTTTTTGTTTGATGAAAACTATTACCTTTATAGCAACCATCCCGAAGTGTGCCGGTTGTGAACAACCAATCCTGGACAGATTTATTTTAAAAGTTCTGGAGCGTTCCTGGCATGGAAAATGCCTAAAATGTATCGACTGTCAAGCACAACTCGCCGACAAATGTTTCGCCCGAAATGGTCAAGTTTTTTGCAAAGATGACTTTTTCAAGTAAGTATATCGATGTATTTAATTGAAAATGGTTATTTTATACTGAAATAACAAGAAAACGAACGAATATTTAAATTAATTTGAACTTTTTACTGCTTTAGCCATGTTTTCAAATGTTTGAATTTTTATTATTTTAATTAAAAAAGTACGACAAGAATATGAGAGAAAGAGTATGAATAATTTATAGTTTTATGAAGCTTATTTTATGTTCCATAAAACAATAGAGGCATAAATTTTTCAACTACGTTAATAATGTCGAACTTTGAAATAAATAGAAATATGGAGAAATTATATAAAAATCTTGCAATTAGCTAACTATTGATACAGATAAAATGGTGATGCATACTACTCCAACTAAGTAAATACTTCGATAACTTTTGATCCAATGTACTGAATTATGACGTACTAAAATACAATCTTAGTTGTTAGAAGGAATAAATTTAAGCGAGCTCATTAATTTATGTAAATGAGGATTTAAGTTATGAACTATGAAAATGCTTTCTTGGGATAAATTTTGTTAGATGGATTTCTTGACCCTCAAAATAAGGAGGCCTCAAATAATAGCCGCAATCTGGGAAACTTGATTCCAATAGTCTGTAAAACTTGATTCGAAAGTTAGCGAAAATTAATGATAATTTCACTTCATACTCAGAAGGTCATACTCAGAAGGTAAAAAAAAAAAAGTCACATTTTGAAAATTCATTTCTCAAGAACTATTTGATCAATTTCATTCGAATATTTAATTTTGTAAATAAAAATTGCTATGTTTAAAGTGCTGTAATATAATATAATAATTCTAACATTTTTTTGACCATTAAAATAATTTTAAAAAATTAGAAATAATGAAAATCATTTATTTTTACGAAGGATCTATTTTATCTTTGGATAAGCAAATTTTATAAATGTGTGATAAAATTATTTGATTATCTTCAACAATTCCAGAGTTATAGTGAAATATTCAAAAAGGTAAAATTAACATTAAGGGGCCAAACTCTTAGGCCACTTTCCTGTTTGAACTATTAGGGCTATATTTTTCCGATTGCGGATATCCCCTCAAGAAAAAACATATTTAATTAATTTCTACTAAAATATGACCAGTGTGCTTATAGAACTGCACATGAAAGTGTGAAACAGCCTTGCCAATCTACGATAACTTACAGATGAAATCTGACCTATACGTAAAAAAGTTATTCAAGATGTATACTCCAGCCCCATATCCACTCTCTCACATTATATTTCATATGAAATATTTATTGGTAAATTAGAACTTTCATGTAATTTCTTAACAAACATCCTGCAGTCGATTTGTGTTCAATTAAGAACTCCTTCACAGCACTATTTTGAAACAACATTTTTCAAAACCTTTAGACTTCCTTATTTATATTAAGATTTATATGCACCCTATTCAACTTTTTTCTCCAAAATTACGGTAAAATAACCGGCAATAGTCTATCCATACGATTAACCTCAAAATTTCTGTTAAGGAACACTTTTTACCGTTACGATTTCGAAAGCGTTTACACTTAGTATGATTAAAAAAACATGAATACAAATTTATGCGGTTCAGGACATAGTGCTGCCATCTATGAGTAAATAAGAATATCGTATTTCTAATAGTCCAAGGTCACAAATTGGAGAGTGCAGGGCACTGGAAACTCTTCATTTGTTGAAGGAAATTGAAGAAATATTGTGATGTCGACGTTTGGACTCGAACCCCTGTTCTATCGGCCATGAGATAGACTGATTAGTTCTCTCGACTATAATACGCACCCTGCTGCAAGGAACTAAGTAACTTCAAAAGGGGAGTCTAGTTGGTGCGATAAAATTCTGGTTGTTTAACAGTATTAGGTGAAAGCTGTTAATAAACGGTTCTTCTCATAGTTATCAGTTTGAGTAACATCTTATTTATGGTTAGTTGACTGTTTTCTTTGAAAATGGTAAAATAATAAATGGCCAAATATTTAACTATATTTTCCTAGAGATTTCTAGCAATATATAGATACGAATGATAAAGATAGATGCGAAGAACTGTGCCTGACGTTTAATATGATAGTTCCTTTTTCTTTTTGCTCATTGCAACTTTTTTTATGTGTATTCTACACCGGTGTAAAGCTTATTTTTAGCAACTTAAAGTAATTTAATAATTTATTTTAACTACAAACATAGAAAAAAAAATGCTCGTGCACGTAACTTTATACTTGCTAAAAAAGTAATTTTTTTTAATATAAACTGAAACTCATTATAATTTTTGAATCATAATACGCATGCTTTATGTCAATTGCATAGTAAAAATCTATTTATTATTACACAAAAATTTTTTTGAAGTTTCACTCATTTAATTAAATGAATAAAACTATGGGGAAAAAAACTACTTTAAAACTGAAACTCTGAACTACTTTGAAACTAAGAAGTACTTTTGTTATTATGAAAAAAGATTTCATTAATTCATTTAACATCATGCTATTTGAATGTTTTATCACCCGAAAGTTCAACTGAAACAAAGGAAAAATAGCCATTTCTCTGTTGTAATTTCAATTTTTTTTAAATAAACTGCTATATAGCAATTTTAACTGTTATATAACAACTGTAGATAAACTGTTATATAGCATTTTACACAATACATATCAACTAAAATAATTATTTATATATATTATTTCGTAATAATAACAATCTAACTGTTTTGTTGCTTATATATATTTTCCAAATTACTAATTATTAAGATCTAAATTATTAATTAAGAATCTGTACTTTGGAATCAAATACTTTTTATTTAATTCATTAAAATAGCTAATCTTCTAATTTACAACTTAAAACATCTCACAACTTTAACCCAAAATATTATTCATCATTAATATTATGCTTCAATATAAAGCACTCTATTGTTGTTGTTTTTCATAACTTCCATATATTTTTTTAATTCAGTCTTTGTATAACTTAGGAAGTATGAAAGGAACTATGAAAAAACTACTAATTAAGAGCCAATAAATTTATTAAGACCCTAATTGTTGGTTTTAAAATCCTATAGAATAAGTAAAATGACTCATTTTCAATCGTAGAATCGAAAACATTAAGAGAGTTTAAAGACATTAGTTAGATAAAGTTTACATTAAGTATTTAACAGAAATCAAAACATATAATTAATAAAAGAATAATATGCATTAAAGATAACATGTTTCCCAAAGTACTATATTAATTCTATAATTACAGTTCCATATGTTTTCAATTACAGCGCTATCTAGGCCTAGAAAGTAAAAATAAAAAAAAAATTAGGAATTTACGAACGTTTCGGAAAAATTTATCATTAAAAAACACTGCATAATTTTGCTGAGCAAGATTAATAATAATTTTGTACACTATACAAGGTGTTACGGTGCTGAGTGGTACTTGTACAAACAAATTAGGTAGGTCAAATATTTGAAAAGATAATTAAATTATTATAAGATACAAGATTTAGCACTTATTAATTTTTCCCATTATCCCATAAACTTACTAATATCCTAATAAGAATTCAATAATTGCTTTTCAAACCCTTAATTATTAATTTTTTTTCCAATCTCTAAAACTCTATCTTTGTGAACTTTATATCAATTAAAATGGTCAAAGTTATAGTGAAATAGATTATTTTAATGTTTAAGCTTCATTCACTTGTATTAAAAATTCACATAGTCCCGCAGTGGACTGATCAATAAGACACGGTTCCCAGCAGATCACCGAAGTCAAGCATCACTGGCTACGGTCAGTGTGCGGGTGGGTGACCACTTGGATCAGTCTGCGTAGAGACCGAGGGTGTGCGGTATTGGTCCTCGTTAAACTGTGCTATCGTAAAGTGCTCGACTTCGCGCGCAGGTCGTCGGGCTACCGAAGCGGGGGTGCCATCCCCTCCGCAGAGGATCAAAATTGTGATGGCGTGTCTTCGGATCATCCTCCGGGATGTTTCCCAGACCGTCGCCAATAGCCTATTGTGCAGCTCTAGTGCGACGTAAATTAACAACAACAACAAAAAATCACACCTAAAAATAATTTATGAAATTAAAAAATTGCGTCTCAATCGCAAATCGATGAATTCAAACTCAAAATAATTTTTATAGGAATAAAAGTTTGGCTTGATAATCGATATTTAATGATTAAATCTTCATTTCGAAACCGATAAATAGAGAATGAAATCGATTTGTTGATTTTATGTTCCTTATTATAGCCCTTTTTTAAACAACACTGAGTTTGCTTCAGTTGATATTAATAATTGCTCAACAAAAAGAAATGTATATCATTTTAACAAATTATTTTCATTGTTTAAAATCTAAAAAATTACATTAAATTATTAAATTAATTTATCTAAACATAATTTATTGAAAGAAATCATTGATTTAACATAATTAATGTCACTTAAACAGAATGCTTATCATTCAAACACACAAATTGAGCTACAATTAAAAGCTTTTTCCAAATATTTTTTATAAAAGTTTTAAATTCTAATTTTTATTTCTGCAGGAAGACCTTAGGATTTCGTATTTTTTTTAAGTTTTTTATTTATCCATTTAAATTATCAATATAAATTTAAATTATCAATATAAATAAGAAAAAATGCTTGTAATATTGTACAAATTGCTATGATAATTTCATTTTTTACAACAACAAAAATTTAGTTATAAATATATATTGCTTATTAAATAAACCAAAGTTTCCAATTTAAGTCGTTTTAACATTTACACACAGTTATGCACCATTGAGGTTTATAATTGCCTTTCCTCATATTAATATAAATAATTGTAAAGATTTTTTAATTAAATCACTGATTTAATATTTTTATTATAATGCTTAAAAAATTAATCTCCCAACACAGAACTAAGTTAAATTTAAAATTTAGATAAAATTGTCATAGAATTTTTTTTCAATTAGTGAACTAATGTTGTTGCTCTAAAGCAAAATTATGGATAATTTATGTTTAAAAAATATGCTAAAACTAATCTTCAAATTTTGTACAATTTGCAAACTATTGCCTAAGAATATTGTCTTACCCCCTCTCTCAAATTCTGCATAAGATTTATTATATTAACTACAAATGCTTGAAATGGAAAATTGGAAAATTTATATAATCTTTCACTTGTGAAAATTCCAATTATTTTAAATTGAAATATTATTTGTTAGCATTAAGGAAGCTAACATAAAGAAGCAATTATTGGTTAAAAAATTAAAATACAGCAGCAAATTGTGTATTTCGTAAAAAAAACATGCTGTTTTAACACATTTTTTCATAATACAATTATGAATGAAACATTTTTCTGAGTCTCAATTTTAAAATATATTTTAAGCAAAAGTTATTGAGACACTAAAAAACAAAAATAACGAATAAAAAAATTAATTTGATAGGGTTTCTATAAATTCATAAATTTCATTAAAATTTCAGAAATGTTTTTTTTTCTTCGTTTAGTCCTCAGCTAAGACTTTCGAATGAGTTTTTCTTCCTGATTCTTCATCAGGAGCTCAGTTTTAATTTCTTAAACAACCCAACCTCCTCGGATGAGATCCTCAAAAAATTAATTAGAAACTTTTCCAGGATCCATGCGGCCAACTAAATTAGGCATTTTGCCTTTGTGCAACAAAAACTATTCTCTGATTAAACCTATCCAAGATATTTCTTAAACCTTATTTTAATTAAAATTCTTGATATATTTTTTTTAAAAAATGGAAGATTAAAATGACAATATGGGAGAATAAAATGATCTTGTTTCTTGGTCTCATGAAGTACTAATGAATATGAAAATTAAAAACAAAAACTGTCTTCATAGTATTTTTGTTGCATAAAATTAACAAAAGATAGGCTCGTTGTAAAGTTTTTTTTAAAGAAACTTTTAAAAAATTTTGCTTATTCTAGTTAGTTATTTGTATGCAACTTTTTTTTAAAGCTGCGCAATACGCATAGTTTTAAACACTATAGAAAAGTATGTTTCGGTAAAAGTTATTAACTCCAAATTTTAATCTGCAGGAAAACTGTACAATAACTGTGTACTGTAACTGTCTTTCCTATTATCAACCTACAAACTTTCTTTAATAAAAATGTAGTTAAAAGTACAAAAACAACTAAAACAATCCTCTCTTGTGAAATCTAAATAGTACGTTATATTTTCCAACTACGAAAAATTTTATATATATTTATATATA